TCTTTTATTATAGTAATCAATTTAAACACATCTGCCACTTCCGTTAATATTTTTTTATTGACGTACTTTACAATTAATTATAATAGGAATTGATATTCGAGCATCAATAAGTTCCCATTTGACCTCGACTTAATGTCTTTATTACTTTTCGAATTATTATCAATATCTTACATCTTTATTAAAATTACATAGTAAAGTAAATAATATCTATAAGAAAATAATATATGTATGTGTAGCATGCGGTATAGAAAACTATAGCAAGGACATTGAAATTCTTTATAAAGTAACAATCCATACTCGTAAAATAGTATGCCAGCGGGAAATTCGAAATTCAGCTCATGTAGTAATATGAAGTAATGGATTATTTTGCACCACTACTAAAATAGTTTCTTTATTATTAGTTTAAGGGTGTGTGCGAGTTTGAATAAATTGAGGTAAAGAAATTTAAATTTCCTAGGGGTTTTTTGCACTGCACTTATCGAAATATTTATTTATTTATTTATTGCACTTATTTATTATTTTTGATTAAAAGATTTTAAATTTACCATATTTATTAAATATCTTATTAAATTTTCACAATGTTAACACCTAATTTACCCCACTCGAAATACTGGTAAATACCAACATTCGCTGCCATACCGACATAATTTACTATTTCCCTTAATTTCCATCAATTAACTCGAAATTAAAAAAAAATAAGGACATTATTAATAATAATAATAATGTAATAATTTTGACGTTGGTTAAAAAAAATTTTTTTAAATTTCTGTAAAAAAAATTGTCATCAACAATTGGTCTTTAAATAACAAGTGAATGAAGTGGAAACGTTATTTCAATTGCACAACATATTGAAAACGAGATTCGATCAAAAATAATTTCACAATAATGATTTTAATCTTCTGGAATCGTCAATTTTTGCAACTTCATATCTACCATATCCAATCTAGTTTTAATCCTTTTCCCTGCAAAACGCTTGTTTTGTTCTTCGTTAATGGAATTGCGTAGAAGAAATTTGATTTCCATTCCAATAGAATTTAATTCAGCTGATGACAAAGTTTCAGCGGTTGAAATTCCAGTCTTCGCTTTCTCTGGGAGTAACAGGTGTCATCTGACGTTTTCATACAAAAGGTTGACATTATTAAATATAATCTACCTTAGACTTTTTGTCAAAAGAGCTTTATTTCTGTTATTTACAGATACAATTACATTGCGTTTATCACAAGTTAATATTAGGGGTATTCAGGCAACTGATTAGTTGCTTAGTTGATTCAAAAACTTCATATAAAAAAAATTTAGCATTTTGATGTTAATCAGTTGCTTGAACGATCCAATATGCGTAATCTGATTAGTTTATTGTGTGTAATTGCTTGGCAGCACTCGCATCAACAGCAAAAGCGAAGCATACGTTAACAGTGAAAATTGTTTACACACAATTCAAACAGCTGAGAGAGATAGCTAACGAATTTCTATACAAAAGTTCATTTTAAGTTATTATTACGACACTTGGGACTGGCAGCACTATTAATCAAATTTGTACTAATCTGAGAATCACCGAAATAGTTGATTCTCTGCTTAGTTTCATTTTTGTGTGCAAATTTTTGTTGTAATCAACTACTAAGCAACTAATCAGTTGCCTGAATACCCCTATTAAAATAAATGTTATGTGTTACTATGTTCACACACATCTTAATTTCGCAAAAATCTTTATCTCATCTTCGTTTCAGCAAAATTAAACTGTTTTTTCTATCCAAAATTCAATTTTGAGGTTAAAACGACATTAAGAAAAATGACCTTAATTTCGTTGAAACGGAGGCTGAAATGAAGGGATATTTCAAATGCAACTATGCGTAAGTAAAATTTTAAGCAAAAAATTTTTTTTAAAAAAATGTCAATGACAGTTGATTTTTTTAAATTTGAATATAGCGAAAAAACTGTAACTGTTTTATCCATCAAAGCTTATAAAACAACTGAATGCCATCTTTTAGAGTTCTAATAATCAACTTTTAAAATTTCCCAGCTACAAATAGTCTGTAATTTTTAACATTCAATTTGTAAACAAAAAACATATGATTTCCTAAATTTGGAGCAATAGGAACTGTCTGAACATGACGCAATCCTTTTTATTGCAATAAATGACAATTACAAACACAAAAACTTGAAGTTGTGAGTATTATTTCTTTAAGAATTTATTTATGAGTGTACCCTGTGTTGGCAGCTGGTATCACTACTCAGTTTGCACTTTAACAACCTGGCAGCACTAACACGTGCGGTCAAACTTTGTTTACATTTTTAAAAATCGCACTTGGACTAAATTTATTCTAAAAACAGAAATTTATATAGTTATTGTTGTTACTGAGAAAAAATGTCCATTGATTATAGTAATTTGTGTTCTTTGATTATTAATCAATGCTTTGGAGAAGTGGTACAAAAAGTTGCGGATTGTTTGTTTGGGGCTGTCAGTCGCACACTTATTCAAATAATCAAAGCAACAAATTTAACACGAAGAGAGGTATTTTTTATTTAACGAAACTAATTTATTATTTAATTCAAATCATTTAACTACATTTAAGGTGTCTAATGCTTTAGCAGTGCTAATAAAATTTAACATTGCGTCATTCAATGCCAGCAATTTGTACCCGCATCTGCCAGAATATTCACTCAAGAGACAGGAGATATTATTTATTTTGCGTTATGCACGGTAAATATTCGAATATATATTATATATACGTTTTTATTGCAAATTTCAACATTTATAATTTAAGTTATGCGCATCTTGCACATACAAAATATGGTAACATAGGCGCTGCTATTGCGGAAGAGATACTCCACGCTGGCTCAGAGACGGCAACAAATATTTTAATTAAATGTGTCACCGCACCCGACAATAAGGACAAAATAGAAACATATCGAGATGTTCTACTGACTATGATAAAAGATAATTACTTAATTAAAATGCCAATGTTAAAAGAACCCACAAACTCAGCGGATGTTGTGCCACAACTGCATGTAGAAGTTTATGATTTATATAATCCGCCAGTTATTGATTTAATTTCTATAGCGAAAATTCAAGCTGGTAGCGTGAAACCACAAGAGGCTAAAGATTATGGTAAATAAATATTAGAGTTTCTTTTCTAAATACAAAAAGCAAATGTATTTTTTTTAAATCTTTTTGTAGGCATTTACTGGAGAATTAACTTTAATCGTTTTCATCAGGATTTTAGAGATAATGTAATGGTTGCAGCTTTGGAACGTAAGTTGGGCACTAGTGCTGGCGAATGCTTTCAATTTATATTGAAACAAATGTACGAACGAACAGATCCTTGGCAAAAAGTAAGCCAAATTTATTACGCTTATCAATAATAAAAACAGTTTTCAATAAATGCCTACTATTTAGCAATCAATGTCTAATCCCTTCACTTTTGTGGAAATCAAACAAGCTGTCGAAAAGAAATCTAACAACCTCGACTTAATAAAAAATTTGGATAGTTATGTTACACTAATAGGTAAAAGCATAATAGAATACTTTTGTATCTTTTTTACTCATCTTAATTTGGGCATTACAGCTGACGATTCTCTAGGATTTCTACGTAGAGTTGGTAATATGGGCGGAGGACAATATGTGGTAGATATGTCATGTGCTTTCGAGGAACTTTCATTAGTTTGCATAGAGCATATAATAACAGAGCGTTTCGGTTCGAAAGCATCACGTATATTTCGTGTAGTGCGTATAAAAAAGCATATTGAGCAGGAAGATTTGCAAAAAGAAGCTATGATACCAGCAAAAGAAGCTAAACTGTTATCGTATAGTTTGTTTCAAGAACAATTTTTACAAATCAAAACCATACGGAAGGCTGGTGGTGGTGGCAGTGGACCCGCTAAATCATTCTACTTATTTCAATTGAAGCACATGCAGGTATAAGGCATTTCTTTTATTTATTTATATTAATTATTGCAAAAATAAAACAAAATTATTATGCTATAAAATAATAATATAATATGTGTGTTTAGTATGTATATAATTTTTTTGTCATCTTGTAGATTGCTAAGATGCTTTTGGATATATGTTACAAAGCTTTGTACAATAACATAACTCGTTCCAATTACGAAAAATCTGAAAATAAACGACTAATCGACAAATCCCAGAAGTTGGATAGCATTATTGGCACAATGAAAGACCGTGGAGAAACAGAGGAGTATATAGCTGAGGTATGTGTTTAAATTGTTATTACTTTTATAAAGATAATACAGACTCAATTATTATTGTTTATAGATTTTGGAAACGCTGACACCGCCAGAAAGACAAATTCTCGACAGTGTAAAACACCATATAAAGACTTTATCTAAAGCTGAATTAGAACTAGATGAGACTATATTTTTGTTACAAATGTATTTGTATCATTCGACGCAGTCGCCAAGTAGCAGTAGTGAGAAAAAAAAATAATTAAATTATTTAAAAAATGTCGACTTAAAATAAAATATTTTTTATTAAAAATAATTTTTTTTTTATTAAATAAAAATGTTTTTTTTTAATAAAAAAATTTTAATTTATTAAATAAAAATGTTTCCTTTATTATAAAAATTTTATTATTTATAAAATAAAATATTTATTTTCATAAATATTATAAGAATTTGTGAATGTTTAGTGAGTAAAAATTTGACTATATACACATGAATATTTTTAAGTTAATAACATTAACTATTTATATAATAGCATAACAAAAAAGACTAAACGCCTTTCTTATATAGTTTGTAAACAGTAACAATTATTTATGACCTAAACTAAAATTAAATAAACTAATGTAAAAAACTTAACAATTTTACATTATAAACATTTTAACTTTAGGAAAAAAACTAAAAAAATTAAATTTTACAATGGCATTGAAAATGATTTCAAAAAACAAAAACAAAAAAATTACTTATCTTTAGTATGAGTGCGTATGTGCAGTTTTCAATATATATGTTTAAAACATATATATGTTATATGTATTATATAAATAAATTTTCAGCCGTTTTTATACTATTTAAATTACATAATAAGACCATTGTAATGTTGATACATTTGATCCCAGAATAGCTGTCTTTCTGTTTCTGGATTTTTTTTCATATCCATTCCCGTTGATATGTCGAGATAGTTAAGATTGTCAATCATATCTTTTGTGTCAATTGGCGACCAAGCTGTTGTAATCATGGTATCCGCATTATCATCCAATGTTGGCGTACTAAATATTGAAAGTAATTAAAATTTTTTAAATATAATATAATAATATATAAGAATACGTTATATATAAATATATATTAATGATATATGATAATATGTTATAATAATATATGCTATGATTTATATAATTATTTACCCAAATTTCGCAAAATTTGTCCACATGCGCACCATACGATTTTTAACTAACACTTCTTTTGACCTGGGATCTAAACTTAAGTTGAAGAAACCAAATTTGAAGAGATATCCCATTTCATCACCATGACACACTCCAGGTCTTGAAATGCCTAACATACGCTTGTATAAACCTAATGCACCATCGAATGAGAAACGGTACATATAAACCGGTGCATTGCTATATCGGGCATGAAACCGTGCAGTTTTCCGAATACCTTGCAAGAACATCAGATCGGTCAGTAACTGTAATAAATAAACATATAAGTGTGAACTTAACTAAAACGTTAAAATAATAGTTTATTTTACCGCTATCAATTCTTCTACTGATTCAATACCAACAGATTTAGAACCCAAATAAAATTGACGTATTTCGCGGGTTACATAATCAATATCGTCCGTAACATTGAGGTCACGCGGTATCATACGCGCGAAATCGTTCTCAATAATTTGTAATAATTGAGGATTCTTACGCAAACCTATGAAAAAAGTAATATATATGGCTTTTAATCAAGAATCCATTTATATATATATATATATTTTTTTTTTAAATATATATATCAATTAATAAATTAAAAACATCTATAATAATATCCTTTGGTTGTGTCCAAAATATTTTTTAATTTTGGATCACTTTTGGACTGAAATATGTTATTCGTATCGATATAAAAAACCAATATATATATTAACTCTATGTTATCAATACCTATTTAAGGCAGAAATTGAATTATATATGGTACAAAGCCAATAAATTAACTTACGTCTTATAAACAACATTGCTTCATGTGTATTATATCCGGTTATATATGGCACTTCAGTATTGAATTTTTGCTCCCTATACATATCCAATGGATGTTCAGTAATAAATGGATCTTCATAATAAATGCCCCTATCACCTGGTTTGTTCCAGTAACCTTCAACTATAGGCACAAATGGTAAACCAACATTATTTCGAAAATCCTCTTCCGTCAATGTGGTGGGCGCTGCCTCGACTAATTTCATAGCTGGAACGCGACGTAAAAACTCTAAAATCTCTATTGTATCATTAGCGCCGACATAACCTAAATTTGCCGCCAAACGAAAAGCACGCTCTGTTGAGCTTTCTGTGAGTGACCAGGGATTAAGTACGGAACCACTTTGTGATATAGCACGATGAAATAAACCTTTTCCTAGTGGTGAAAGTAACAAAAGTTGTACGGAAGAAGCGCCAGCAGATTCACCGAAAATAGTCACTTCATTAGGGTTACCACCAAATGATGCAATATTATCACGCACCCATTTTAAGGCAAGTACTTGATCCTAATAATAGAAATATGTTTAATGAAATAAACATTAAAAAAAAAGTTTAATGAAAAAATTAACAAACCTTTAAACCTTGATTCCCAGGTGCATCTGGACCAGCAGTTAAAAATCCTAATGGACCTAATCTATAATTAAGTGTTACCAGTACTATATCTTCTGAGACTAAATAATCTGGACCATAGAGAAAAGTATTTCCGGAACCAAAAGAATAACCGCCGCCATGCAACCAAACCATTACTGGTAATTGTGGATTACTAGAAATATACAATATAACAATATTTCAATGCCATGCCATATAGAGAGCATACAATTTGGTGTTACTTACTCTCCACCTTTAGGCACTCTTTTTGTAAATACATTAAGAAACAAGCAGTCTTCGTCACCCTTAAAAGTATCCAAAATCATATTTTTGTGCGGACAGCTATGTCCTTCACGTGTCGCATCACGTATACCAAGCCAAGGTCTTTCAGGTTCTGCAGCACGAAATCTATAAACATTGAAAAGTCAAGCAACGATATATTATTAAATATTGTGCTTAAAGTTTTCATTTCTCACCTTCTTGTACCTACTGGTGCTTGACCGTAACGTATGCCTTTGAAGCTGTAATAACCGCCACGTTCACCTGATCTATATTTCTGATATCGTCCACGTATTTTTCCATGAAATGTGTTCACCACCACTTTTGTGTCTTGCTACGAAGATAAAATAAATCATTTTAATTTAAT